ATTTCAATATGACTAATATAATTACTGCTGTCCAGCACTGACTAAAGCAGAACCTCTATCCTCGGGTACACCTCGTCTAGCCAAACATGTTTTCAATACCAACTTCAAAAGAGAAAGGGCCACCGGCCCTGCTCTTCACACTGGGAGACTCTAGCATGACAGGTGTGTACTGTCCTCTGCAGACTGGCCCCACTCGTTCCCAGGGGAGTCTGAGTGACAGCTAGAGAATACAACAGCCTGGAAAAGACCACAATACCATCGAGCGGGATACTGCTCTGCGTTAAGCGATTATCATCCGGAGAAATCACTAGGTAATAAAATTCTTACCACTTAATGCACTGGGAATGCAAACAGTTAAAAAATCTGAAAAATTCACTGCATTTCAAAAGTGAGCCCAAGTGTGCATACCCAACAGCGTAGGGATCATTAATCACTTTGCATCACTAATGGCATCTTATGACTTATGAGGAATACAGAACACCATGAATTTCATAAAAACACAAAAAGGCAAAAAGTTAGATCACAAGCTGATGGAAAAGGTGGTGAATCCTGTGAATTCACAGCATTACCATCAAACTTGTATAAATAACCCAGAATATTTTCATGAAACAATTCTGAGCCCTCATGCAGTTAATGGCTCAGGAATTTGGGAAACCCTTCGGGCATTCCTATAAGATTGATCTAATTGTCTGTTCGAGAGGGACAGTCCTTTCAGAACCCCAAACAGAGCAAGCTCCTATTAAGAATTTCCTGAACTGCAATCTCTGCTACAGTGCGATCAGAGAGCAGCCATTAACTGTTCACTTTTCCAAGAACGAGCAGATCGCAGAATGGTGTCAAACCAAGGATTTAGTCTTCTAAACCTAAGGTAAAACATTAGTAGGTACTCATTTGAGTACCTTGCTAACAAGTACCAGATTAAAACAAATGATTTTCTAACAGACATTTATGGAGGGAAACAGAGAAGAAACAGAATAATGTTCCAAGTTGTATTTGGATGAAGAGAAAGAAAAGGACGCAGAATGTACTACAGAGCACCACTGGCAACATGAGATAAATCAATAGCACACTGCACTAAACTCATCTGGACAGGATTTAGCATAGAATATCAGCTTTTCTGCACTACATGGAAAGTGAATGAAGAAACATTCCACTCAGATGATCACGACTCCTCATCTTAGATAACTATTTTGCTTGTTTTCCCTAACTTTTAAGCACTGCAATTAGGAATAAATGAAACTTGCATTTAAAAGATTAAAGACAACTAGCTGATACTAAGTTGTCTACGAAAACATCTCCCATCATCGGAACTGCTGGACCCAGACTCGAGACTCTGATGACCAAGAAAGCTCCGGCAGAGGTTTTGCGGAAGAACGGTGAAGCCCCAGCTGCAATGAAACCTACTGCGTTCCTGCTCATTTCCCTGACCCTGCTCTTCATGCTGATGTTGACCACAAGCTTATGGAACCCTGTCTAGGCCTGGGCTCCTGCCTTTCCCCCATCTTTCTCCCTGGGAAGGTCACAGAGCAACCCACTGACAGAATTACATTGGAGATCACAGTAAAATAAATCAAAACAGAGAAGACTAAAAGTCACGACTCTTTACGCAAGACTAGCACACTAGCACTTTGACTTAGATCAAGCCAGTCAGCTGAGTGACTTGACACTGCAGCTTAGTCAAGAACGGTCAAGAACGGTTGAGAGTAGAGCTGGGCGATAATTCGATAGCGATAATTACCGCGATATAATTTTCCTCGATATAATTTTAACAAAAGTTCGATAAATGTTTGGTATATATGTTTATGCTTTGCGCATGATATGCGCATGCGCACAAAATACTGCACGAGGGCGGGTGCGTGTTGCAGACCGGGCAGCTAGCAGATCTGTTTAATGTTTCTGCTGTTTGGAAAGTGTTTGTTGTGTTCTTAAAATAAAGAGTTGTTTAATTTACCAATTAACTGCCTGGTTTATTCAACTTTCACTCAGGAGAAAAAATCTGCCTTTAAACTTGAAAGAAATAATGATTTGACATTTATCGAAATAATTATCGATATCGACTGAAACGAAAATGTTTATCGTGATAATGTTTTTGGCCATATCGCCCAGCCCTAGTTGAGAGGGAAGAATACACTGTGAAGACGAAAACAGTTTAATGAATATTTACTTGATTCTTCACAGGTACATTTATTTTATCAAGCAAGGCTGCATTTTTACTCATTCTTTTACTTTTCTAAGAGACTGTCCCTCCAGCCCCCCATATGTACTTTTCTCTGTAGTTTTAAAAGACACTGAGCCCCGTATGTCAGAACATCCACTTAAGACCAACTGAGCTGCTCCATCTGAGCAGTCAGATCAGCACGGCTACTGGTCTGGATTCCTGTACACTCAATCATTTGCAGAAGTCAAGTAAAGCTCAAATTATGCATTCCAAACCACAGCGACAAAAAGAATCCAAACTCAAAACAATTTTAAAGAGAACTAGTGCTCTACACATCCTTCACTATGGAATGTTTCCAATCATTCTAACTTATATCTACATTTTCACCTACTTCATTGCGCAACAGCTAAGACACGTTTTGCTTTGTACGTAGTGTCACATGGCTGCATACCATTTCTTCTTAAAAGAAATCCATCAGGAAGCTGGGATATTGGAAAAACTAGAAATGAGTATACAATTCTAAATAAAACGGCCTTGTCAAAAAATAATTTTTTGGGTCAAGGTTGGTACAATAAAGTTACAAGATTTAGGGTGATAGTACAGCCTTTCTTGTTAAAACTGAGGTAAACATGCAATTAGCAAAGAAAATTACCTACAAGATAAATTTTCATTTACACAATATGACATCCAAGACTTCTGTATAATGAAAGCTCGAAGCCAGGACCGTAAAATACCGAGCCTGTGTTGATTCTTCCTATGACATCAGTTACACATATAAATAGGCACAAAACATCCAGATTTTGTTCGCTGGGACTGGAGAAACAGAATTCTCAGGGAATTGCTATGATTTTAACCAGCGTAACCTTGAGCTGATGAAGGCAGGTGAGGGTATGCAGGGTCGTGTTTGTTCTTGTCTTGACAGAATGCCTTGTCTGCAATCCAGAAGCCTCAACTTGCCCATTATCGTACTTTAAATGATTATCTAAATGAGTCCTGAATGTGCAAATCCATGGGATTTACACACCACATAACAGCCTGGCTCTAAAAACAGTAGTGTACCTCACCCTGGAGTGCCTGCTACTTTCTGAACTTTGAAGCCCATATGTCAAAAGGAATCCAAACTGCCAAATTCAAAAACAAATTCACAAACACTCTGCTATAGTTGAGAAATAAATGTTTAAAAGGTAAACACCTAGTGCTGCTGTTTTGGAAAACAAAGAATAAAAGCACTATGGCTGAAATAAGGAAAATTAGGTAGAAATAACTTGTTACAGGAGAATGAGAATATCAATATGTCATTTTACAATTAAAATGTTGTACGCTGTGCTCTTGTGGTTTGCGACTGGTGCCCAAACTTGGAAAATACGCTTCAGTGAACCGATGTGGTTTATACATCCTGGCTGAAAAAAACATCTGCACTACTGAAAGTAAGCTTCAGCTGAATCTGGGTTTCAGAAATCTTTATTTTTCCATTGAAAGACAGTCTGGACTGATGCAAGGAAACCAGTTCTGCATATAAAATGTACTACAGTTTAGAAAAACAGACAAATAGCCAAACCAGCAGAAAGCAGAGGAAGTAAAAAAAAGCTAAAACTAAGAAAACTGCTGAATATACAATGTTGCCAAATACATACTTGTATCATGTGATATTCACAATAACGTCACTGGGATCGGTGTATTTAAAAGTACCACTGGCTAACCGACAATGCCAACATCTGCAGTTAAAAACATTAACCCCTCAACTAATCAAACGCATACTGCAGGATGAATATTTTACAGGTACGATTTTGTGCTATTAAAAACTTACGTAATTTATGACTATTTCTTAAATTACATTTATCTATATGAGCCATACACTAAGAGAAAAATCTGTTGATTCAAAACCTCAGACTATTAGCAAAATTGAGTTGATACAAAGCCTGTTATACTTATAAAATGGACTATTTCTAGTTTAAGAGAGAAATCAATTGACATTTTATAAAGGAGACAATGAAGCTAAAAATTACAGAGGATCCTGTGAATACAGCAGAAAACACAACATAAAAGTACATTGTATTATATTGCTATAACAATAGAGTTAAATGCATGCACATGATGGGACATGATGGGATTACGAGTGGTTTTGTATACGTGTTAACATGCAATGTAATAAGATTTAGAAATGCTAAATTTAGTATAAAAAATATTTTGGACAATCTGGTGTGGACATTAGAGGGTCATGCTAAAAAAAATCATTACATTCCCCCTCAGCCCCACAGCTAAGAGTAAAGACTTGTGATTTGAGATATGCCTCACTGTGGATCACAGCACTATCCTGTTTAGGTATCTAGTAAACATGCCTCACAGCAGAGATGGATTAAGGTTAATGACAGCAATATGAGAGATCACCTAGGCGTAGAAGTGTTCCTCTCAGAACATCAGAATAATACCATTCTATTATTGCCATTTTCCAGTCTAGTGTTGTTCAACACGGTTAGTATAGATTTGAAAAATTAAAAACTCATTGTCATTATTGCTGCCTAATTCCTAAGTATGCAGAGAGAACAAGAGGCCAGACTTGGGGACACCCACAAAGACTTCTAAAGCCAATACGGGCAAACTGGGGCTAGGCATTATGTCTAAACAATAGATAATAATGCAACAGCAATTGAATTTAATCCTTTGGCCCACCCTTGCTATGTTTTACACAGTGCACGCAGACACCAGAGCTTGTAAAACTAAGCTTGAAGCAGGGACAGAGTTGCTAAGGGCTGAAAGACCTGCTGGCGTCACGCACGCAGCGTTGTTCCCGTGTTCTGATGAAAAGTTTCAAGAGTGGCAGTGCTCAGTGTAGTTCACTCACCAGCTGGAACTCGCGCCGCCTGTCATAAGCATTCTGGATGCCACTGTCCGCCCACAGTGCCCGGATCGAAGGCATGAACTTGAGAAACACCTGGGTCTCTACCATGCCCTGTGTAACCGTGGCTGATCTGGTGTCAAAGCTCATCACGCGGTCCCCGTGCTCATTGTTGGAGGGGTCACCCCAAGGGATGTGAAGCTTCTCTCTGGCATCTACCAATACTCGAACCCCTGGTCAGAAACAAAGTTGAGGAAAGAGTTAGGATTGGTTGCATACCGTAACATCATTCATACACCACTTTCATGCCTACGGATGACCTCAACCACATTAGTTATGGGAAACATCAGGGTACTGAAACAATTTCTGAAATTCTGTACAATTTTAATTTACAAGCTACTTAAGATCCAGAGAAACCAGTGTGAAATGTGAAATTAGTCCAATTAAACAGTTCAATATTCAAACTGCACATAAAACCACTCAAACAGGATAAATAATCCAACATGTAGACTCATCTTTACTTTGTATTGGAAGAAAAAATTCTAAGAATATACCAATATATAGATAATTCTCCTTTGCCTTTTCCCTTGCTAAAAGTCGAAGAGCTTCCTTTTGAGAATCAACGCTACACTCTCTCCAGTTATACCAACACATTTTTAAATCACTAAACGAAATAGTATCTTCTCACTTTGGGAGACGGCACGACAATAATGTGGCCATTAAAAGAACACCCTAGCTACTGGCCCGATCGCTGTCCCCCAGCAGACAATTTCATCAATATACGTTTTTTTAATTAGGTCTAAAGCAGAAAAATATCCAGTTTGAAGTTAAATTAAAGTGGGTATAATTTAGTGTTAATACCTGAAGTTTATATTCTACTGTACCAGATAGCATACATTATCATGATTTTCATAAAGGATCAATGGTGGCCCAGCACTGGGCTGATTTAAGTTAAAGAATCTGCTGCCTTAACATAAATAAGTGTAACAGGTTCAAAGGCTGCATGAAGGCATAGTGACCTTGTGTTCTTGCACAGTGTGTATAGATAAAAAGATTTAAGGAGAGTTAAACGATTCTGTACAGCGGTGAAATAAGCTTAAAAATGGGCTCATTCATGAATCCTGAGTGACTACAACAAAGCTGCTCATCTTGAGCAGGCTGAACCCTGTTCTGTTTCGGGATACGTTAGCTTGGGCTTGGACATTACCAAATCAATCAAGCAAAAGTTCCCAATCTCCCTGTACTAGAATTAAGGACACAGCAATGCAAGTCAAAGCAACTGGCAATTACAAATGGGAGGATAAAAACAGTAAAACACATTTAAACACTATTAGGTGACTGTTTTAAGTAATGCCTTTTTGTATAGGCATAATCACTTGATGAAACAGATTGCTAAAACATAGCTGGACTGGCTTGGATCTTTCAAACCCAACCTTGCTGCAGTGAAAGAACAGGAAAATGTCAAACTCACGTGGGCAGATTTGCTTGTTCTCATCATTAACATACATTCTTATGGCTATGAATAAGTAATCCTTTTATGGACAGAAGGTTGTACCATTGAAAGACATCCTAAAAAAGCAAAACCTCTAGTACAGGAAGAAAGAAAACTGCCCCTTTTAAGAAAACTTTTATTATCTGGTATGAAAACCAAACACAGCCACACAGAATATTAACAGCAACAACGTACCCTTTAAATCTCAAGGTTAATGCATTCAAATGTTTTCGTGTACCGTTAGAATACAGAAAAGTTATGCTGAATGCCTTCATAGGCTAGACCATCATCAATACATTTGTACCTAGTTTTAGCTAGAATTTCTACTGCTCCAATACACTTCCTTAACAAGGTACAGGATGTGTACCTTGGAATCATCAATTGTACATTAAGGTGGGTAGCTGCATCAGCATGCGTAGGCTGCAAAGGAACAAGTTATAGGTTTATGAAAAAAAGAAGAAAGAACAACGTTTCGGCCTTGGAGCCTTCTTCAGGTGACACGGTCGAAACGTTGCGTTTTATTTCTTCTTTTTTTCAGCATGGAATAAACCTATAAATTGTACATTAAGACTACTAATAACAATAATAAGTCCGTAACAAAGAGGGCTGTTGAAACAATCTTGATCAGGAACTGCTAATTAAGAGAACATCAACCCAGCAAACACATCAGGACCATACTTGGCCCACACAAGTTTAAGGGAATCATTAATCTATATGGAGATAATTTCCTTTTTTTGGTCCTAGTTTGTGTGCTGGCCATGAAGTAGCCAACTGGTATGAGAAAGTGAAATGTAGGTTTTAGCATAAATGTACCTGAAACTCTTAACAGAAGTTAATGACATTATATGGCCAGATACAAGATCAACCTGATCTAGCTGATCGTCCTCTGATAATCAATTTCTGTAATGTTATAAACCAAACTGAGCAGTTAAAGCAGAGTCCATTGACTTTGAAATGACCACCCTAGGTTGGAACCCAAAAAGTACAGAAAAGATAGCTGGACTCTCTTCTTGGACAACAAGGCTAGGCTCCAGTAAAACCAAATACTGCCAGAAGTGAAGGCAGTGAGCTGCTACTTGATCTAAATGTTTGAGAAGTGTCCGAGAAGAGGGAGACAAAATACGGAAGGTAAACAGTTACAGAATGGAGAGTCAGGAGGGTCTCATCTTGTTAAAGTAACAAAAAAAATGTTTGCACAGCAATCAAAACTCATCTTGAGAGCCAGATGGCTACAACCAATGTAAAAAGCAATGATGAGAAGTCGGTGTTCAAGTCACTTAAGTCATTACATCAAATAAAAATTAAACTTAAGATATATATATATATGGTATGATCAGAAAAATATTCAGTGAATTATATAGACTAGTAGCTATGTTTCAGTAACCCAGATGCCTCACAATTGTCAGGCCACACAAAAGGATGAATGATGTATATCTAACCTGTTTAACTTACTGGAAAATGATTCAATAAGAATAGCAACACCTCTTCATTTCGGCAAGGAAATGACTCGAAAGTTGTAAAAATTAAAGAGCCAGGCCTCCACAGACCAACCGCGCAATGAATACAGTTTCTACTACTGTCAAAGGTGACTGTCAAGGAAGAAAGAGAATGGAAAACCTGACATGCTGCTCTTGATGCTCAGCCCACCCGTTCTGTGATTCAGGGCCCAGCCAGCCAGCCATGCTCTGGGCAATATGGAAAGTATACATCTCTGCTTTCAACCCGTCAGTGAGAGGATGCAGAAGTCTATTTTGTAGATTCTCTCGTTGCTATTGTTTGTCCTGATAAAATAATTAACTTGGACAGATCCCACGCCTGTAGTTCTTAAATCAAACTTTTTTAAATTTGGTAAGATTTATACATGGAGAACAAACGTTTTCCTTATTTAACACGTGCTGTGTCTACAGCACTTTCAATCCAGTTCTTTTCCAGGCTCAGGGCACCTCTGATGATTTTGTTAGTAGTTCTTAGGTTTTTATTGTGGGTCAATAATTCAAGCTCATACTGACAGGAAACCTCTGAATTCTGCTGCACACTCCATATGCATCAGGCCAGCTGGAGGGTTATATGTAATTGATTACAGACACAATCACTTAATGAGCAGATGAATAAATCATTCACACAAGGAAGAGGTATTCTCCAGGAGATAGCAACAAAGAGTGCAACACAAAAAAATTAAAACCAGGTTTAAAATGAATCATACTTTACCCCAAGAGATGCTAAGACCAGTGATGAACAAGCTGCAACATGATCAATAATGGCCTTCCCTCAACACTCATTAACCAAAGCAAACGATTACTTCCCATAAAATATTCATACATTAAATACAGAGAGAGTCCACTGGTTTCAGTGGACAAACACTGGTTTCACTCCAACTTTTCAATTTAATTACCTCAGACTTTAACAGACGTAGCTTAGTGGCTCTGTAATATGATCTATAAGCAGCACATAAAATAAGACACAAAAGATTAATTATCTAGGAGACTAAATTAGAAAAAAATTCGGCTGAGAATGCTAGGAATAAAAATATAAAATGCAAGTAGAAAAGGTTAAAAGGATACTCCCATTTAGCATGAATACAAATTTCACAATAAAATGTGAAATCTTTAAAAGGGGAAAATCGGCATACATTTGATCAGACTGTGATGTTCAACTTGTTAAGACCCCAAGTGTACATTTTTCACCCAGAAATGAATATTCTGATGGCAGAAAACCTGAAACATGACTGACCATGATGCCTTCACCTTGAGAGAAAATGCACAATGTTGTGATTCCTGTACCAGTGACTCTGCAATGTACTGACCATCTATGAAAATGAGGAGAAACTCTCAGGCATGTTCTGCAGGTTTTACTGGCTGGTTTTAATTACCACCTCATGGAAAGAAAATCTAAAAACAGGTGTTTTGATTAATTCAATTAAGTAATTAAGACCCAAGGCTGAATGGAATCCAGAGACTAGAGCATGTGGACTGGAGCTTTCTATCCTTAACACTACCACAAAAGGCTTCAAGGAAGATTTCTTTCTCAGAGCTCCAATTAAAAACAAACCGGAAAAAACTTCTGAATACAGTGGACATTTGAAAAGCATCCTTGTCGCCATTCAAAATTCTGAATGCATACGACCAGTCTGAGATCATTAAACATATAAACAATCACAGGATGTAAATGTATGCCATGCCTGTAAAGTCCAATTTTTTAAATTATAAACAGGATTAGTCTGAGCTGAAAAAAGTAAACAAGTTACAGTAAGACAGTAGGACTCTCGTCCCCCAGAGACTGGCTGCTGGAAAAGAGACGCAAATCTAAGAATATTAATCTAATCAGCCGACTGGAGAAGTCTTTCAATTTGGTTTTCTAATGATTTTGCAACTACCTTGAGCAATCCAAAAGGAATCAAAATCGGTGATACCCATGTGCACTAAGGAGTCAATGTCAAAAAGGAACATAGAAAAGGTTTCTTCCTCTGACAAATTTTGAGTTCCATCACAAAATGACAGAAGTAATTAAAGAAAATCAAGTATACAAAGAGCTCATGAAACCTGCTACTCTATTACTTCGAAATAATATAAGTCTTCTCAGGTACTGGTAGTGAATCAAAGTGGTGAATTGGGTAATTCTAATACAAGAGATCTGATCTTCAAATAAAAGGAAAGGAGGAACTAAAATGATTATCAATTCAGTAGCCGATGTGCCCTGCTGGCACAATTCAAATCCTGATTGCCATCATATAGGGAGGATTCTGAGAGTTGTTTCCTCACAATACTTTGCACCTATAAAAAAAAAAACTCTGGTAACCTTACTTGTTAAAGGTTAAACAACGCATGTAGAATGCTAAATCAATATATGTAATGGAACATTTTGTACTTAAAGCCATGCTTGTTATACATGAGCATTTAAGAGAATCTATGCAACACTCTAATGACAGCGTTTCCATTATGATCTGTAAATAGCTTATCTGACCATAGGCTATGATTAATCATCAGCTACTAATCTATGAAGTCCAAACACTCATTTTATCAACTTTGTACACTGAACGCACAACCATAGAAACGCTCTATAAAACTAAAAGCACTTCAGATCTACACAAATTAAGATTTGTGCAAGAACAGATTCAGGAATTGTCCATAATCCAGTGAGTGTCAAAGCCTCTAATTCACTGCACTCATATCTGACCCATCCCTGTCAGATAGATGAACATTATACATCTTATCACTGTTTTTTTCATCTCAAATGACAGCCTAGTCTGCAGTTAAAAATTGGACCACTCTGCACTTAACAGCTCTTGTAACTTACACATCACATTTGAAAAAGACATTTTAATGTGATAGTCATCTATGATCCTACTACTACTTAACAAAATGCTTAAAATAATGTATGACAGTTAATGAGGTTAAGTGTTTACCACCCTATAAACCAGCATGGTACTTGACTTTTTCCCAAAATTAAATGAATTGTAATTAACCAATGTCAAAAGCCTTCAGAATAATGAAGAGACAGAAGTCAAACTGCCTGTGCACATACTGGTTGACCCTATTACAGTCTATATAAGATGTTCATGACTTAAGAGTTACAGCTGGCTGTAACTGTTTTTCATACTGATCTGTTCTCATCTTGTCTCTCTAAAAGAATCTGATGAAGCATATCTTGTCTAATATTTAAGGTACCCCCTAAAAAGAAATCTGGATTAGAAATACCCTAGCTGTATATTATGACTAAAAAGAACATCTCAAAAGTTGACAAACAAGACAGAAGACCATCTATTCCAAAAACAACTAGTTTCACCTCATGATCAGCAGATAATGAAGTGTACAGGCACAGCAGCCTTTATAAGAGGCTATATCAGCAAAAGGCACAAAAAGCAGGAAACTCCCTTTACGAATTTCTGCTGGGAATTACAGTTCATACCAAGAACTTTCAGAAAGGTCACATTAAGTTTACATATTCTACAGAAATAAAGAATAACTAATTTGTTTATAATTTAAATTTCCTAGGTTTTATAGTTGAGTAGTCCTTTTCTGAAGAAGTGCAAGTAGGTAGCTGCATCAGCATTATGTAGGCTGCAAAGGAACAGAGAAGGGTTTATTCCATTCTGAAAAGAAAAACATGGAATAAACCTTTACCTGTTTCTTAGTCCTTTTTGTATGCACTGTATATTACAAAAAAGCACCATTTTAAGGTACACAAGGAAACCAACCTGTGTATTTAAATTGGATTTAGCATAACTTATTCACCTTTGCATTATGCCAAATCAATATTTTCAAAGCAAACAAATTTTCCAAAACCAGCAGCAGTAAATTTGAATTTAATAACCAAACGGAAAACTTAACTATACAGAAACCTCCTCTCTGGAGTAGACTGCCCTTACTGATCTTCTACATCCAATGAAACCAAAAGCACCTCAGAAAATGTGTCAACAGCAGAATGAACAGCTTTACTTGAAACCTGATCTGTAGCACATCCAATAAACACTTTTTCCATCACCCATGAATGCAGGCGAAGGCTGATCAAATTTACCTTCGAGTTAAAGTGAGGTGCAAACAGCCATTTTACAAGATACCATATTTCCTGTTTCACTTCAAGTTTAGCAAAAAAAAAAAATCACATCGGGACGAGATGAACTGCAGTTTAAAAACAGAATCGCAGCGCATCAAACGCGTCACCAGGGTTCCCGTTTCAAACACATGACTGACCCAGAACCCAATCTCCTTCGCTCTTGCCATCACAGGATGACAATACAAGCATTTCAGCTCGTCTGGAAATCCCCCCCATCAAAGCTGTAGCTGAGGGGGTGTGGGGCCACCCCCAGCTGCAGGATCTCGTGCGCCGCGCGCCGCTCACACACGCAACCACCTTCTAGCCATCCCAGCCACTGAGGAAGACCAAGCAAATAACTACTGTTCACTCTTTTATTCCTGGGAATGAGGAAAGGGTTTATTCCCTGCTAAAAGAAGAAGAAAGCAAAACAACGTTTTGGCTGTCGAGCCTTCTTCGGGTGTGATCCTATCAGAGAGGTCAAAGACTCATCAATAATACTCCGTATTTAAAGAAGTAGGGATAAATTCCAAAGCAACATCTTGCATTACTTATCCCTCCATCCATCTTCTAGCCACTTCATCTAATGAGTTCCAGTGGAACCAGACCCTATCCCAGCGAGCAATGGGCTCAAGGCAGGGTACACTCTGGATGGGACGCCAGGTCATCGCAGGCCACACACACTCACACCAGTGCCAATGTGCCCCAGAAGCCAAATAACCTACCAAGGTGTCTTTGGACTGCGAGAGCAACTCACGCAAACACAGGAAGAACATACGAACCCCAGGCAGATAACACCCCGGGTCAGGAACTGATCCCAGAGCTCTAGCGCCGAGAGGTAGCACAACACCACTGTGCTGCTTTTGCAAGGCTTGTACCATTCAAAATTAATTATACACAGTTACATGAGTCATAACACATGATCTCGTCATTCAAGGGCTATGAATTACTTTACACTTTCACACGCCGATTTATTGTGCTAGGGGAAAAAAAACTCTGCTCTGCTCCAAAATTAATAAGAAAAGAGTATCAAAAGAAGCACACAGCAAAGCTATAGCCTGACCTATCCAATAATGCAATGTGTGACACATGGAAAGGTCATGCAGCATGCTGCACAAAGAGGGGGGAAGGATCTTAGCAAAGTCAGAGCTCTAACAGGGAAAACTCCACCTCCAATACGAAAAATACACCTAGATATTCACCTTCCCTTTGCGGTCTTGTGACCACAAAAGCTCTAAAGATAGAAGAGCTTGGAAAACCTTGCCCATCGCTAAATGTAGCAGTAAAGGGAAAACAAAATCATTCAAACAGACGGTCTGAACGGATGCTGTAGGTTGTCTATTTGAACAAAGCCAAGCCAGTCCCTTTAGAATTCTTACTGCCCAACAAAGCCTTTTAAACCAGTACTTCATGCACGGCTGCTTCTTATTTCCCCCTAAACCACTCATTTTTACTGCACCCTCACTGAAGCACAACTCTCTTTGAATTCACGTTAAAGAGTTTCTGGTTCCGTCACAACGACACTACTTCCCCCCAAGTATACAGTACAATCATTATCTGTAAAACAGGTCTCTCCCTGACAGAAATGTTGCTTATAAACATCGGAACAAGCGACTCACTTGATGTCACCGAGGAAAAAAGACTCATCTGTGCGTCTGGACTGGCCTCGGCCTTCTCCCCCCACACCGGATATGGCCACTTGCTTCCCTTCAGAAATGTGTTTCTATTTCTTTAACACTGCTCATGCGACCTCTGAAACCGGGACAACACCCTACAGCTATCACCTTAAATCAAACAGAAGAGTCTGTAGATGCGAATCGCCCCGCCGCCGTCTAGTTACACATCCAGTAATTATTAACGTTCGCTCCAGACAAAACCTGTTTGAACACCAGTAAAGGAAAAATTCAAGGCAACTGAGAAGACGAGATAACCCCGGGAACGGGCCGGACGACAGGAGAAAACTCCTGAATTCCGTCTCAAATACTTCTACAACAAACAAAAAAAAAAAAAAAAAAAAGGGCAAACCCCCTTTTTAAACCTCCCCTGGCAAGAAAATTTTTTTCTTTCCAAGTAAAACACTCAAATCACTCGTCAGAAAACTTAAAACGGCACCGCCAAGCCCAGGTTTCACCAGGGGGAAAAAAAAAGACTCTCGGCTTCACTGCAAACAACTGAAACCGTGCCCTCGCTTCTCACAAAAAAAAAATGAGCCAACGAAACATAGTAACTGTTTTCAAAGAGTCATCCCCAACTTGGGCGTTTCACCTCTACCCAGATTGCGTTACATCGCGGTGTGAAATGCAGATATCTGGCTTTTCTTCGCTGCAACGCGTGGATACCGTGCAGAGCTTTTCTGATTGTGCACCGTTTACAATAGCCAGGCTTCTCCGGCAACTTTTGAGTGGCTAACCTCCCCAAAAAAAGTACCCACCAAGGGGGAAAAAAACAACAACTCCTCGTGCCAGATTTCTTGAAGGGGGGAAAAGAAAGAGAAGCGTGATTACACACGAAAGACGAAAACGTGAATTAGCGCCCGATTAACCCCCCTTCCTTGTCTAATACAACCAAATAACATGGGCGTTTCTTCTCTCTACGGTCGAGGGGATGTCTCCCTAAGAACACAACTTTACTTCTGACCCGCTCCTCAAGTGCGCAACTCGGCCGTTTAAGAAACGTTCCCTCCCCCCTCCGAAAACCCCGAAAACGAACCCCAGTCGGGCCGGACGACTTTCTTTTCCGAACTTACCTTTAATTACATTGCTGTAGATCGTAGCCCGGAACTCTTCCTTGGCCCTCTGATCGAAGTCCTGGCCGTGGATGATACGCATTTGCTTGAGGAAAGTGGACTTGCCGCTCTCTCCTGCTCCGAGCAGCAGGATCTTCACCAGCCGCTTCACGTACGTTTTATCCCGGGAAATACATTTGTCGATCTCCTTGGAAATTCTCAGCTGCTCTGCCTCGCTGCTGTTAAGAAGGCAGTTAGGAAAACAAACTGATAAAACGGACCGAGACGGCAGGAAATCCGCCATCTTTGAAGCAACTTCATCGATACAGCAGGGAGGGAAAGGGCGCGCCCCCGAGAGTCTCAGCTCCGAGGCGGGCGGGGCGCAGTCGCATTGTAAGGGCGCGCACGAATGCGCGGCGTAACTTCTACTGTGGTTTTAATAGGGGGTGGGGTTTGGAAAGAGACGTAGAAGCGTGGCCTTTACTTGGTTGGATGTGGAAATCCGTCATTAAGGGCTCATTTTTGATAAAAATAAAATCAGATTGAAACTCGTTGCTGTTGCAGATGCGACTCCTTGTAGACTATTACATCCAGACGCGCAGGTCGACAGAGCTTCTATAAAGCGTTGGTCTTAACGGGCTACTGCTGCACCAGGGTCTTTCTTTTGTTTTGGGGATCCCCTGCCTGAGGAAAGAGAAGACCCCCGCTGGGAATTGTCGGGATCCTCCGCCCCTGATTGAAACCGAAAACCTCAGTGTCCCAAATTAAACATTATTTAATAGTTTTAGAAAATGTCACTTGCATTTAAACCCACAGTTAAGCAAGGACAGCTCAGCTCTTTTGTAGGTGTTTATCCTGCGAAATTCTAGTCGCGTAATTACTCATTTCCATTTTCATCAGGGACAACGATAATCCTTTGTTTATTGTTTCAATAAGCGTTTGTTTCTACAATATGAATTGTTCAAAGTCAAACACTACAGTTCAGTTAAGATCAGTCTCGGACTTAATAGTATGCAAAAGAATCAGAAACAGAAATTGTTGTTTGTTAGATTGATGTATATAATAATATATGTATTATTAATAGGTAAAGTTTTGTTTTCTCACATTCATTCATTAGCTGCTTCATCCAATTCTGGCTTGCGGGGGGAACTTATCTCAGCAAGCAATGGACGCAAGGCAAGGTGCACCCTGGACAGGGCTCCACCCCATCGCAGGCCAGGACACTCATACACTCACACCAAAGACACTTTTCCCAGAAGCCAGCCTGCCAGCACATCTTCGATCTGTGGGAGGAAACCCAAGCACCGGGAGGAAATCCACATGAACATGGTGAGAACGTACAGACTCCACCCAGATAGCACCGTAGGGCTGGAATTGTACCCAGGGCCCCAGCACTAGAAGGCAGCAATGCGGATCACTGCACTACTGTGCACTGTGTCAATTCTGTTTTCTTCTGTCCCATATTTCCAAGGTACAAGCCTTACCCAAAGGAGGGTTCAAGGATGGCATAACCCAGGGTGGTGTCCTCATATCTGAGAAAGTTGGTGGGGATCTCCGTTGTGGAGCACACACGGATGGAGAAAAACACAGGCGCACAAGGAACAGCCTTTGTTGTTTGACTGCACAACAGAGGAGCAGTCAGCGAAAGATAATATCCACCACTTTGCTATGATCAAGAAAGATCATTGTACGTGGGTGAGCCTCCTAGGCATATTTATGAAATGTAATAAAATTATCACTTCAATCAATTTATGAGTGAAACCGTTACAGCTATGAACAAGTCAAGTGCTGTACAAGAGCAGTCAGAAATGCACAGTTGTCTGTGTGAGGATATTATGCATTAATTCTCTGTTAAAAGCTGAAAAGAGACTGAAGATCTCAGTTTGAGACTGAACGTTTTCGGAGAGAACCAGGGGGACCCGATACAAATATTCAAGATCCACAAAGAAAGTAAACCCAGCAGAACTCTTTAGAATTAACTGTGAATCACAGACCAGTGGGCACTGGCAGAAACTGGAGAATTCATGCCTAATGCCTAATTAGGAAGAGAAAACAGGAGATACTTCTTTACAAAAAGGGTTGAAAGAGTACGGAACAAGCTACAGAACCATATTTTTGAAGTCGGCACCCTGTTTTCTTTTGAGGAATGGCTGAATCTGATTGTTGGATTAATTGGACTAATTGAATGAATTGCCAACCTGCCTAGAAGGGCCCAATGGTCTCTTCTCCATCGCAGCAATAATTATGTTCTAATTTTGATTAGTTGAACAAGAAAGAGAGAAATCCATCGGAAATGAGACAATTCTAATGGAATGCACACGAATGGGGAATATTACCCAAGCAATTGTTACATGAAAGATGAAGGTTTTGTGATTGTGTAAGTACTCCTGAAATAGCCCACACTCTTATGCAACATGGAATTTTTTCATATAACATCATTATTGCTTTTACTTGCTTTCTTTTGAGTCATTCAAGTCATTCAATCAAGAAATGATTATTTCTTCAACTATTCCTTTCTTCACAATGGCCTGACTATCAGTTATCTCAAGGATAAATAACATGAACAAATTCTGGCTCGCTAGTCAGTGAATCAGTTTCTTCTTAACTGTTAAGTAATCTTCTTTCTTTTCTTTTTTTGTTCATAACAAATGAATTAACCATTTATTTTTTAAAACCGCTTCTTCCAATCAGGGTCGCGGGGAGACCGGAGTCTCCCGGTAGGCCATGTTGATGGGGCGGGTTTACACAAGCACATTCACACCGGGGCTCCTTTTCCCAGAGGCCAATCAACCTACCAGTATGTTTCTGGACTTCAGCAGCGATGCTAACCACTGTGTCATCGTGCCGCGTGTGAATATTATGCTTATCATATATATATTTGTAATATGAAAAATAGTACCCTTCAGTACGTTTTATTATTTTCTTGAAAACCAAGAAACATTTCCTGGGCTCTAGTACATCACCCAGCATTGTACAGGACACGCAGGAAACCAAATGCTCTGTGCTCTGAATGGTCAACAAATGTGGATATGTTCCCAAGAAGAAACGAAATGGAAAGAAGCTACAAAACTTGAAGGCAACATTAAGAAAAACAATAAGAAAGTTCACCTTAAAATATCGCCGACAGGGGGCAATGTGTTATCGATCGATGGTATCTTTAACATGGCAACGAATACCGTATATGATATTGCAGATGTATTTCAGGAAGATAACAAATTTATGCAGATATGTGTGAGGCAGTGACGTTTTCACATCCTGAAAAAAAAAGATTTATTGAATTTCCATAGTTGTGTAGGAATGAAACTGTAAGAACAAGAAGTTGGGCTGACACAAGTAAAGGAGCACCTTAAAGGGGTCAGTATTATAACTTTCTCTTCCTAACTTAAAATGTGCATTTGACGCAAAGATTGGGGAGATTATGGGATGGCGGTTTGCAAAAGTGGAACTATTGTGACATATTAGGGCTGAGTAGGCCACCAAATTAGAAGTATATAAGTACACAATATTAAAAACAGTTAGCGGGAATGGATAGTCCAAATATTACATGGCTTACAATGTACTAGAAGAAGCTGCTTCAAATGTTAAACTCTACGTTGCCGTCTATCGGGCAAGTTTAAGAAGTGCAGTGATGCTGCCGACAGAGGTGACAGGTTGTGAGAATAGAGCCGAGTTGTGATTGGTTGGGATATCAATCCCAGCGCTTTCTTCATATTCGCTGTGGTTTATCACTCTAACAGGCGGCGTGTGTGCAAGAGGAGAGACGCCAAGACCGTCTGTCCCTGCGCTAGTTTGCTGTCTTTATCGGTGTTTTTGAACGCATTGCTTTCTCACAGCTAACGACAGCGACAGGGAACGCAAATATGACTATCAACAAGCTCTGTGATTACAGCCAGCATTATCGACCTCGGATGGCGTGTCTGAAAAAGGTAGGCTTGTCATACAAGGAATACCTTGGTACCAAATCAGAAATTGCGTTGTATAGTATTGTGCATTTATCGGTACAGCCTGTTGTTTATCTCTATAATTGTATTCCATAAAACAGTAGAAATTAATATCAGGTTACCGCTATGTATACACGTCCTAAACATTTGTGCATATATATGAATTTGCTTAAAGTTTGAACCCGAGAAAGTTATGATCCTTTCCAGTAATTGGCCTGAAAAGATTTTATGTTCCTGATGTTTAGAACGCACAAGCAGGGTACCCTTTCGCATTGTCTGGTTTTGTTTTTGGCGCAGTGTGCTAGTGTTGGTCTAGTAGTTTTAGTTTTATCACGATGTCCGTAAAAAATGAAGGAACGCGATCCCTTGCTCAGTTATGTTTACTTTTCTTTTGTTGTCTTTCCAGTGGTAGGTGCAGGTGTGGCTTGGTGTACAAGCGTGTTTTTCTGCAACATATTCTAATTTTGTTCTCATCCACCACATAAAACGTAAAAACCCCGTCATCTAAATATAGGCATGCTTAATCTATTTTTGTACAAAAGCTAATACTTTCTTGCCCATGCGCAATCTATCTCACCTATAATGAGACTAGGGATCTTTCACGCCTATTGGAAGCGGGATGCGAATTTCCATTCCACGTGTTTTAGGTATAATTAATAGCAACAGGGCATTCAAAAAGGCATTTGATAAGCATTATTTGACTTTTTAAAATTACCCAATCTCTATCTTTGTTCCAAGCCTTGAATTTAAGGAACTGTTGTATTATGAAAAGAAATGTACACATCACCTGTGTAATGCACTTTGTGCATTTTAAATCCACTAATTCACAGAGCTTTCCACAGTTCCTTAGACCTTTCAGTGATGACATGATCACTCCCTGAATCAAGCCCCTTAAAATGCACTCTTTCTTCATCGACAGGATATTCCCTTTTAATGTTCTATTGACACAGTCCTTATCTGAGCCATAATCTGCCATTGCAACATCAATCCAATGTGGAATTCCCTCATTCAGTTAAAGTGTATTCCACTGGTGCTACCCCTCCATCTCATCACCCTTTCCATTCCCAGGATCATCAAAGATAACGGCTCCATTTTACAGGATGATGCCTTAACTGGAACACTTTCCAGTCCCCCCTATCATCTCATACTGCTGATCACCTAACCTGTGCAACCTTCATGTCCCTTACCCACCCAGAGTCACATCCACACCAGGAACCTTATGTTGTAACAGAAGCCACAGCATCGCCTGAAAATATGTATCCAGTAACATGTACATGACCCTTTGGTCCATTTCAGAATAGCCGAGAAACCATCAGGTGCATCAGGTAATCTGATTTACTGCATCTCTTGGAGAAAATGCCCTGCCATTTACCATTATAGAACTACATGCTGCACATTGGTGGTGGTGGAGGGGAGTCCCCATTACCTGTAAAGCGCTTTGAGTTGAGTGTCCAGAAAAGCGCTATAAAAGTGTAAGCAATTATTATTATTATTAATTACATGGCCATATCGGGGGAAAATGTGAGAGGAGAGAGGATCAAAGACCTCTCCAAGCTGATGGTTCCCCATGACAGCTCTCCCAGACATGACCTTTCTGGTTGTGTCCTTTTACCGAGATTTCAGAACTGCCACTGCTGAAAAATGTCAGGAGCTAAAATGATCCTAAAACCCATGCCTCTCCCTTCTTTCTGTGATAGACTAAATTATTTTTTAATCCTCTCCTTGACACGTCTGGACCAAAAGCTATCGCTGGGCTCAGGGACTTGCCCAATAAATACATTTACAGATTTCTGCTTTTGGGACCTCTCCCCCAGAGTTCCCTTCGTCTGGACACTCTTCCTCACCCGTGTACCCGTTCTCACGCGTTCTGTCCTTTGTTCTCCGGTGTTTAATATTCCAGCCACTTTACCATCTCCCCCTAACCCATGAAGAAGGCTCAACAGCTCAGATATCCTGTTTCTTCTTTATATGTTTTTGCTCAGAATTAACTTTTACTTTTAAATTTTAATACACATCCTTACCATCGCTATTGTCAACGACAAAAGCATTAAAATTCGAAATAAGATTAATTAGAATTCAACATGGTTAGAGAAACGTTCTAAGGAGAGTTTCTGAAGGCCTTACTCTGCAGTGTGTAGGTGTTTCTGATCTACAGGTCAGTAGTAGGTCAGGATTGTTCATGGTGCTGAACCTTATTTAATCACCCTCCTACGCACAGCCCTTAGTTTTGCCCTCTCCTTAACAGCTATATTGTGTTCCTCATGCCCCTTCATCACGTCTTACTCTGCTTTTCCGCTGACTGTCAGAGCTTGCAGGTCTGCAGCTTAAGGGGAATTGAATTTGCATCTCTTCTAGTACAAAATGAGGTCCCTTTGTGCCATATTAATGTAGGCTCATTGAGCGCAGTATATGCTATTCCAATACATCTCCTTTATTACAGGACTCACTGTACTTCTTTATGTGTATGTGGGTTTCTTATGAGTCCATCTATCACAGTCAAATGGGCCCTGCAGAGGATAGCAGGTGCAGGCAATGCAGAGATAGCAGGTGGTATGCAAACAGAGAACCCTCATGCTACTGCATTGGCTTAGCCCGTAGCAGAGTTGGACAAGGCCTGCTCTTCTTTGGACAGTTAGACTCTTTCATTTCAGCCTGCAGCTTTCCAGCTTTCCAGCTTTTTCTGTGGATATGTGAAGCCAAGATGGAAATTTTAACATTTTCCATGTGTGGTTCTCAGTATGCATTCTGTAAATGCATTGGTTTACTAAATATGTCAGAAACAGTTCCCTCAGTCACAGAGCTTGGAAAGATCTAGTAACACAGCCCCTAGAATGGTCTGTCTAATTTGTGTTTGAAGAGCCTCCTGTGATCCAGATTTAGACTGGGGGTAATGTTCCTGTTTGACTTCAAAGGTGCTTAACTTACCGAGAACCCACTTCAGACAGCCTGTGAGAAAACCAAAAACAAAATCAATCATCAGAATATTTCAAAGAGGTCAGATGTACCACTACAGACATAAAAGAGTGAGGACGTGCTTTAGATTTTCTACTCATCAAAAAGGTTACTGAAAATACTTCTTAATACTCATGTGTTCTAAGATTATTGTAAATTACCTTTTGTCTTCAAATATCAAATTGAAAGTAATTGAAACAGTAGATGGAGTGACTACAAGGCAGTAAGTAAAGTGTATTCAAAATCTTTTGGCAGCTGTTTCAAGTAAAACTCTGTTACCTTAAGATGGCCTGTTGGTTAGTGCAGTGGTTCTCAACCTTGCCTGTCCTGGTAACTCTTCAATTAGACTCATTAAGCCTTTGGTCTATTATACTGACCTTTTTTCTTGTAAGAAACTAGATAGGGTTTGTAATCACTATCTGCCTTGAAGTAATTTCTGATTTTAACACTTGTCTTATGGGGTATATGTAAATGGGAGGATATGCTATATTGTCATTCCCTTCTGTGTCTGTTCTTGATGCATTAGTGACCTATTAAGAGTCATTTAACAGAAATAAGAGAATAAAGGAACTCTCCACTTCTCCCCACAGATAGAGAGCCTGGTGGTAGAGATGCAGGATCCTAACAATGGAATAAAGACTCAGACCCAGAGGCTTGTCATCACCACCATCCCACACGCTATCACTGGTAAGACCTCTGTTATCCATACCTCAGTGCTCTGCAGCACACTAGCAAGCAGTTTCTGACGTTTTGTCTTCCTCTGCAAAGCCAATCCCAAAAGAGAAGCCCCTTCAAACACAGTTAATTTATTTTGTTAAGGACTACAGATATCCAGTCACAAAAAAATATATCTGTGGTGGTGCAGGTTAGAGGGATCTTTGTTGGCTAAGGACTTTAATGAAAGCACAAGCGAAAAGCAATGTAACAAATAATAATAATCAATAACAAAATAAGGTACAAGGGCACAAACACAGTGATGTAGGTAGAATGGAAAATGCACAACAGTGCATAAAGGACATATTTTGAGTGTGCATTCAATATTAAGCAGGAACTAAACTAATGAAGTCTGGTGAAAGAAGACAATAGTGTAAGACATGGCATCAGATCTTTTCTGTGCATCTCACTGGTCATCATGTGTCAGAAGGCTAGGCCTGCTGGCTAGATTGTTCAAAGGAAAGACACACATAACATTACACTGGACTAAAAATAAACACAACCAGCTCCTACCATTCATCAGATTGACACCACTGACCATGTGAAATTGAACTCCTTTTTGTGTAGATTAATTAAAACTAAAATAAAAAAAATTGAGCTAACAATGTTTTTATTTGGCTTACAGTACTAAGAGCTGGGAGGCACTGCACTGCAAGCTGATTGAATGTTTAACCATGCACTGAGAGCGCAGCATTTAGCCAGTCTCATGCTGGGGGAATCATTTGATCAGGTCTCTCATATTTCATAACTCATACCCAAGCTCACTATTCGAGGTGCAACCAAAGTTTATTACCAGTATACTGCCTTCCTAATTTAATTAAATCCCAAATGCGCAGACCTTTTCATGACTTTTAAATCTACTAAATGTATTAAATCTACTAAATGTAAATTTGCTTTCACCTAAATTTGCAGTACTGATGTCATATTTTAGAGAATTTTGTTTATAGTGTAAAAAAGGTGGTTCATTGCTCTACAGTATGCTTTAAGCCACTGTTGTTTGAAAATAGTGGTGAAAAGTTTAATTACATCATCCATCCTACAATAAATTTCATGTGAATATGAATGTTTAACAGTGTAAGCATGCAAAGATGGAATATCTGTTTCTATTGTAGTATATTTAAGTATTTTTTCACATTTTGCATGTAATTGTAGGCTTAATAGCAATAGATTTAGGGTACATCCTTAACTTTCCTGCTTTTAATGGAGGCTGAAATAGAAACATTCAAAGAGTAAATATGAAAAATTGTCAGTGATGGAATTTTATGCCCTCAGGGATTTACTCAGTCAATCTACAGCCCTGTTTCAAGCTGTCAAACTTTCCATCGTCTGAAAAGCTGTCTAAGAAACCTACAGTAGTTTGTTGTAAAAAATGTCACTTTTTATGCCATTTTGTCAGTGCAATTAAATAACAGAAACTAACATAAAAATTAGGCCAGGAATGATTGGCATGATATAGTGCCATGCAGATAGAAGCAGATTCCTACTGGTCCATGCTGGAAATCACCATCCTGTAGAGCAGTAGATGGAATTGAGACATCTCCTGGCATGCATGTATTTTAATTCCTTTGATGTGTGTGGTGAAGCAGCCATTTCCATGGCAACCTACGAGGAGCTGGCTATGGTGATTCCTTCCTTCGTTTGCAGTGGCGATTGGCTTTGGAAACCGGTACTCACTATCAAGTAGGGAAGGAATGCCGCAGGCAGGGTAGATTCATAGGATCACAAGACAAGTTTCTTTGTCTGCAATCAGACATCCATCCATCCACCAGAATGATTTTAAGTAATGTTGTATTAAATCATAGACTTTAAATATTTAGCCCATTGTTAAATCAGACATGTTAATAAAAAAATCAAGATCTCATTTACATCTCCTTGAGAGCATCGATTGATACAGCAGGACATTTGCTATGCCTTGTTCAGTGGTACAGTATCACCATCACCAATCCACCAGGGATTTGAACCCGAGATATTTTGCCCTCACATCAAGCACCTTAGCTTCTACCCTGCACATCTTGTCTTGAACAACTTGGAAGCTTTAAGTAAATTCGTTGTGTTACGCAATTTGTGCTACTCCAAAAAAACAGGGATTTCTGTATTTAGGATGTAAAGGAAATTTAAGGACAGATGGACATTTTCGGAAAAGTTTATAATGACAAAATAAAGATACAATAAACGTGTTGTAGATTTGTCTGGGCTGGAGATAAATAAAAATAACTGAAGGCCCTGGGATGAGCAATTCTTTTCTGCTTTGTCTTCTTCTGTCTGTAAATTAAAAGACTAACTTATTCTGTAAATCATATTTTCCAACCAGCAGTGAAACCCAGAGAGATCCGGTAGACAGCTGTAGCTCATTTGGATTTGAGCTGGAAAATGTGGTTGGTAAAAGTCCAAAGGGACATTTTAAGAGTGAGAAAAAGCAAATCATCAGATATGTTTACAGGAGTAAGAAAAGTAGGCCCAGGGTACAAAGAATGCTTAACTCCCACCTGGATAGGCTAGTCTACAGTCTTAACAATGCTGGTGCCTATTTCTACAGCTGGGTGAACTGCAGTGAGTTGACTGGAGTAACCAGCTAGTACAACATCAGTGTCCATTACAGTCAAACCTATAACTTCCCACTTAGGATTCCAGAGCCCAAACTACAACTGATCTCTGTGCCCATAAGAACAGTTACAAACAAGAGAGGCCGTCTAGCCTGTTAGTTAGATATCAGCTTCAACAACATGGTAGCTTGTTTTAAAACCCAAGATTGCATCTCCCAGAATAACTCCGTTTCAGAGGTCAGACTTTCTTTGTTGCTAAGGTCGCTGTTGCTACCCTAATCTGGTCAGCTTGTGCGATATCTGTGCTCTGTTTTCCAGAGGAAAGGCAATTTCTGGAGTTGATTGTTTGTTGCACTGGGGGCTGATGACTCATGTGGAACTGCTAAGGAGCTCATTAGAATCAATGATGTAGACCTCTCTGCACTGCTGCCTCGATCAATGTGTCCCTGTCTATCTGTAGCCAATATATCTCATGAACTACACACACTGTTGAACATAATCAAGCTGCAGCAGCTGAACCTATGCATTTTACACTGTTGAAATAAAAATTATATTCCATAAACATAACATGTAGGTTTATACGCCATATACATGTCAAAAAAGTTCTGTATGCATGATAAGTCGTTAAGCAATTTGGTATTTTTTCCAGCATTCTGTAACCAGTTGTGTTAGTTTGGTGACCATGTGTTTAATAATTGTTTTAAAATCCAGAGAGTCACAGTATATTGGTACAACTGGCCAAAGTGCTATGCAAATATTTTATTAGTAAAAAAGAAAGAAGTGGAGTCATATGCGACTTTCAAGGTGATTTTTTCCATAAATTGAGATTAACTCATGCCATTTTGTTAATTTCAAGATCATTTCCTGCTTCTTCCTTTTTATTTTCTTTCAGGTGTAGATTTGTTATTGGAAGTTACTGGAAATATAATATGCTCCTTTTAATAGTATGAGTCACAAAATGTTTTGTTTTTTATAGGTTTTGTTAATTGTTTACCTCTGGTAACTTATCTACCAAATGTGTTTAGGTAGAAAATTATGTATTACAGTATGTATTTATGTATTTATTATATAGCCTAAATATGGTTATATATCATGTATCAATTAAGTTCATTTTCTGATTCAGTTCACTTAAAGTAAAAAAAAACAGGATTACATATTATAAGCAATATAATCCAATTGACTGAAGATGGTTTTCCTTTTATTGATGATTGGAAGTGAAAATATTTTAAAATAAAGTTTAGGTATAATGGGCAATGTATCTAATCTTGCATTAGGCTGGTCTTTAACAGATTCTTCATGGTTGAGTCAGCTCACAGGTTCAGATGTGTCTTAGCAGGGCGGGTCTAAGGAAGTTGTAACCTTTAAAATAAAATGTACATCACAATATCAGCTAATGACCAACCAACCAATTAGTACTCAGTACTGGTTTATTCTGTAGTATTCATACTGTAAGAATGTTGAATCTCTGAAAGAGGTTCACTTGAGTGAAATCGATAGTTTCTGGAAACCCCCTCTCTACCCTCAAAGCCACAACAGACTGTCGGTATGGTAATCTGCTTGTGTTCTGCACATAAGGCAGCCTTCAATTGGATGAGATCCATGTGATGCTTTTGTGCTTAAAGATGGCCAGTAATCCGTGCACAGAAATGGAAAAGGTCGGGGATAAAAGTCCAATGTTGCGTCATGTGACTGTTAGAAAGAAAGGACCTCATTTAAGAACTGAAGAGGGGTGGGTTGAGCGCTCTTTTATTGCCCCTTCAAAACACTGAGTGTCCGTACATTTCTTTGGCAAGGCCAATAATTTCATGACACCTACTGCCATCATATTTTTATATAGCCCTTCATCTTAGCCAAAAGTCCGCTTGGCTTGAAGGATTCTTGGCTATTTTCACATCCCACAGGACAGAAACCATGATAAAATGGAACTGGAACTGACTGCAGAATTGTGAACTGCCTCTTGCTGGAATGAATGAGGGGTTAGATGAGTTGTAATCGACAATTATCCTGTGTTGTCCAACAGTGTTTGTTGCACTCGATTAAATTAGAATAGCGTTGTATTTGCTTGACAAAATTTGTTTAATATTGTTAGGAATATTGTTTAAGAATATTGTTCATGGCTACTGGTTGTTTTAGTTGTTCTACTGAAAGAAATATCTGATGTTTGCGCTGAGCTGGAATTTTCAAACCCAATATATGGTATTAGTGCACATCAGTCTCTCATTGAAATTCTGCTCCCATTTGCTGTGTTACTGTCTAGGAATAGGAAATTGAGCCTTGAGCGAGCCACCTCTCTTCCCTCTTCCTCTCTATTAATAGTGCGGTGACAGACCCTAATGAGGAGAGTGACTCACTCCTCTGTGGTGTCCTCACACTGGCAGCCTGAGTTGATCACTGCAGGCAGGCCCTGCAGGAGCCCCTCTCCGCCAGGTACATACCTCATGAAACACGAACCTCCCCCCACCCCCAGACCCCCAGAGCTCAACCCGGCACTGTGTAGCCGCCAGCTCAGCGCACAGCCGGGGACTAATCTAAAGCGACATCGCGGCTTTATAGCCTTCCTTCAGAGTAAAAGCCAAAAAACGCTCAAGCCAGGGTGGCTACACTGGAGATGATCCACAGTGAGTTGCACGTCATGCTCCTGCATGTTTGTATCAGTTACATCCCTGCACTTGCTCTTGTTCACTCTGTCACCAGGTCTTGACTTACTGCAGTGGCTAGCTAACCGACTACAGGTCGAGACTGAAGGTAAGAGTTCTCATGTCTTTTGAAAAGCAGCTAAAAGCAAAATTCCAAAAAATGTATCTGTGAGAACTCACTCCATCATGGTTTGAGAACATGTGAATATAAACTCGCCAAGGCACCATTCGATGTTCAGAACTTCAGAGTTTGGAAACAAAACATAAGGCAGCTTTTTTAAGACCTTCAGACAGTTTCTAGGCTCCAGTTCCTCTGTGAACACATTTGTAAATGAGTCTGCCAACCAACTCAACTTGTTGCCTAAAAAATTCATTACCATCAGCAATGTGAAAAACTGTTTATCTGAGTAACAGAATATAGATAGCGGTCATTTGTGTTTAAAGGAAATTAGCCTTCCTTTTGGAAACTTGCCTGTGAATAGGTGGAATCTCTCCTTGCTTTCAGCCTGTGCAGTTGGAGAGGCATACATTTTCTGTATGATTCTCATCTGAAAACTTTCATGTGTTCATTTACACCTTCCATGTTGGTGTTAGTTAAGATCTCAGCAATCAATAAAAGTAATGTATAAACTACAAACTGGTGAGTGTTTATGGTTGGTGCCATTGTAGCTATAATCATGTAGACACGCCTGCAACCAGGTTACAAATTGCGGCTATATCTAGTTTCTTTATAATGATGTGTTAAAGAAAGATGAGGTACAAGAAATCCTGCTTTGATTGAGACAACCATAACATTAATGTGGTGTCTTAGAGCTAACTGGAAAGGTGGTCTTTTGCACTTTGTCTGTGTATTGAGACTCTCCTCTTCCCTTATCCTTCCTTCAGAAGCTCAGAACATTGGTAATCTGGTGGTGCAGTATGGATACATCTACCCTCTCCAGGACCATAAGAACCTCATCCTAAAACCAGACGGCAGCCTCTATCGCTTTCAGGTGGGTGTCCAAGTTCATCATAGGTTCGGCCCTCAAACTTAATTAGGCCCCAACCTCTTAAAACTAAAATGTTGAGACAAACTGACAGAATAGTTTCCATTATCTATTCATATATTTTCCTGTCCATTTAAACCTCAGTATACTGTATGTAGGCAGTCTCAACATATGATCTGGATGTGTTTGTTTATAAGAAACACCAGACGCATCAGTAAAGCAGTTTCCTTCTCTTCTGGCCATTTTTCAGTGGAGTCAACACACACTTTTTGGAACGGGAAAAACAATGCAAGTCTTTGCTGTGAAACAAACTGAAACTGTGAAACAGTCAAACTAACTGAGCTGTGACCTTGTTCTCTCCCAGACGCCGTATTTCTGGCCAGCTCAGCAGTGGCCAGCTGAAGACACCGATTATGGTGAGTGGCAATCAGCACACACTTCAGCCGCGTGTTTCCCAGGCTGCTTCACTGAGTATTAGAGGCTGTGGAAAGACTGGTGAGAGGTGCCAAGATAGCAGGTGGAATGACAGTACAGTACAGTATGTTCACTCTGATCAGGGATAACATTTACTGGATTTTGACTTTGCAACCCAGAATTTGCATTCTTGGTGTACTTCACAGCAGTTTGTTTTGTGCAATAGAGCCAGACGCCCGTATTAAGTCTTTATTTATAACATATAACAGCAAAGTTGTACTGTTTATTGTAGACGTTTAACAGCTTCACTTTGCAATTCGAATGCCTTTTGTTTTGTTTTTTGTTTTTTCTGGGTGTCACTTACACTTCATAACTAAAAGAATTGTGCTGGCTAGCATGTGTGCAGGGGTTAACCTATTCCTTTCGGTCAGTTGTCTAAATAGACCACTACATTTGAAAGAATATGAGGGCAATCAGACAATAGGGTGTGAGTCTGATGGCTCTGGGTTAAGGGACAACACAGTGGTGTGGTAGTTAGCATTGTGAGCTCGCAGCTCCAGGGTGCTGGGTTTGATTCCAGTCTAGGGTATCTACAGTATCTGTGTGGTCTTTGCTCATTCTTCCTGGGTTCTGATATGTTTTTGTAGGCGCCCTTCTCTCAGCTCTCAAAGGCATTCTGGATAGGTATGATTGGCTACTCTTAATTGTCCCTTCTAGCATGGCCTCCTGTCCATAAACCCCATGCAGTCCTCACCAGGATAAGCAGGATAAGTGACTGTCTCAATTGACCCATCACAACTTTCATAAATTTACCAAGGGATATTGCTTTGATGGCTCTGGGTCAGACAAAGGGCTAGACGTAATTTTTTTCTGATATGGTACACACACACCTGATGAAGACTTGTTCAGAATGTTAGGTTTTTCTTCTTTCTTCTTGCTATTTCTGTGTGAATGTAAACCTCTGTATTTTCCTAGCATGCTAGCCTCTTGCATACCACAGGAGAATTTAAGAAACCTCTTTAGTTTAATTTTACAGTTCTACTGAACAAATTGTGAACAAACCTTTATGTCATTCTCCTCTTTTCTCTCTTTTCAAAGCAATATACCTGGCCAAGAAAAACATTCGGAAGAAAGGGATGTTAGAGGACTATGAAAAGGTACAAATAATTAATGTTGCTTAATTATCTGCAAGAACCATTCTACTAAATTCTTTATATTGATATTTTTGAAAGCTTTATTTAATACAGTTTATGCCCCATAGCCAGATTTACAATTGCAGAGCACAGTGGGAAATAAGAATTAGATTATGAATATTAAGAAGAATGAGAAACATCAGGAAATTACACTAGACGATTGTGCTTAGAAAACAGGATTCACGTAAGTGGCCAGTTCACCAGAGCTATGTTTAGTCTGTTGAAAGCCATTATATCCGGATCCAAAGCACAATGACAGACTCTTCTGGATTTTAGGTAGAAAGGGGAAAACACACCCAGTACGTCTTCCTGTGAAAGACAGTTATGTTCAGACAAGGTGTTGTCAAATTGTCGCAGTTTCATTCCGTGAAGCACAGCTGTGGGAGATCGGAATCTGTAAGAAATGAGGTCATGACCTTGTCATGGGCCAGTGTGCCCCTGCTGTTGATACTGAAAGTCAAATTATAAGAAGAGCAAAATCCTACTGTCCCCATAATTTTCCTTTTGATAGTGGAAGAGAGAGAAAAGTTGAAGAATTGCTTAAAAAAAATCTTCAAAGGTGAAGCAAGTGGATTAAAGTAATGTCGAATTAGTGTGTATTTATTTTAAATATCTGATAAGTGGATAGTCACCTGAGTGTTTAGACAGGGCTAGAAATTATGTACAGTAGATCTCCAAAGTGTAGAACAATCAGTGTGAAAGTGTTAGGCCTCCAAATACCTGTAGCAATTTGTTTATAGGTCTCATTTATAAACCATTTTGGACTCTGGTTAATAAAACTTCTTGACATAATTAGTATCATCCTTAGGCATGATGACAACCAAGAAGGAGTTGTGACTTGAACTTTCGATGTGTCATAATATGTAAAAATTGAACAGAATCTTTGTGACTATGTTTCATTGCTAAGTCCTAATATTTTAGGCACTGCATGACTTTCTTTATATATTTTTATATAGTTTTATTAGAATTGTTCAGTGCATTAATAAGTGTGATCATAAAAGTAAATATTAGTTTTTAACATTAAATACTTCAGAGTATGGCTACAGTGGCTCCTCTTTTTCTTTACTAGGACAACTACAACATGCTTCACAAACGAATAAACCATAAATGGGATTTTGTTGTAATGCAGGCAAAAGAACAGTATAGGTAAGTTTATTTGGTTCTGTCTGCTGTATTTTCTATAAAATACTGTTTTCCATGATATAGGATGTTATTCAAATTTGTCCATTACTTTCCAGCTCCTATGAATACAGATGTGTGCTGTGTGTGCCATTGTGTCTTATTAGGAACAAGTAATAGGTTTATTCCATGCTGAAAAAAAGAAGAAAGAGAACACAATGTTTCGGCCGTGGAGCCTTCTTCAGGTAAAGAAGTGAGAAACCTGAAGGTGTGAAACCTTCACACCTGAAGAAGGCTCCACAGCCGAAACGTTGTGTTCTCTTTCTTCTTTTTTTTCAGCATGGAATAAACCTATTACTTGTTCCTTTGCAGCCTACGCCTGACGCAGCCTGGCGCAGCTACCCACCTGAACTACTATTGTGTCTTATTGTTTGGAAAATGAGATTTCATCATGCTGGCTTAAGAGCCCCTAAAGGCTATGACACATTTTGCAGTTTTCTAATACCCAGATAGCTAGCAAGTACAGTTGCCTACTTGGGCCAAAGACTTGTCTAATTGATGGCCTCCTCCAACACCGGTTTGGCTCACTGATAGCTCATTGTTCCAGATTTGAATGATTCAAATCTGGTTTGGTACAGATGTGACATTTTCTAACTTCTTTTTTTGTTCCCAACACCTTTTTTATCCAGGCTTTTAAGTTTTCCTGCAAAATGTGGTATTCTTAAAGACACAGAACTCAACATAAAAGGAAACGAGTAGGGGTTTATGGGGGTAAAAAGGAATCCTGAAACTGGTCAACAATGAGTCACAACCTGTGTCCATCTGAATTGATGGCCCAGTGCTTGTGGGTTATGTCATTAGCATAATGGAGTATTCAGAAGGTGTGGAAAAGTCATTAGTTTTGGGAGCATTTTCATTAGGCAGTAGAGTTTATTTCTGGGCATTGAAGTCCACTGCCAGTGTTTTTTTGTCTGTGAGAAATGAAAGAAAGAGTTCTCTGGCTGCTGACTGCCGTGATGTCCTCTGTGTCCACAGGGCAGGGAAGGAGAGGAAGAAAGCAGACCGCGTGGTGTTTGACTGTCAGGAGAGGGCGTACTGGGTGGTCCAGAAACCTCCAGTAAGAGCTGAAAAGCTGTCGGTTCAGTCTGTGCTAGTGAATGGAAAGATATTTCTCCTGGAATAGAAACTGCTACACCTTTTTTTTTTGTTCCATTTACTCTTATTTTATAATATGCCCAATGCTAACACTAAAAATGTGTATTGAATTTAACATAAAGCTAATAAGTTAGAGTCTGAAGATCTTTTTAGACAGTCTCTGTGTTAGCAATGCTGTCTTCTGATTTCCGTGGAGGCTGAAAACATTTGGGCTTTTCTGTAGTGTCTCTTCTGAAAAATAATGTATTATCTACCCTGTTGAGGATTTGTTCATTTATATTTTAGAGAAAAGTTAACTACTTAAGAGAATGCTCTAGAGAACTTTGTGTAAGGTGGCCTGACGTTTTTGGTATTTTGAAATTTTAGGATGCACAAAATCACTGCTTTTCTAGAAACAACGAAGAGTATTAGTCTTTCAGTGCAGGTTCTCCAATTTCTCTGTCTTTCCGAAGAAAATAAATTAACGTGCTGCCTGTAGGTATACAAGCAAGTTAACAAAAGAGCAGAGTTGCTAATGTAAAGCCTTTGATGGTAAAACTAAATTCACTATTGTTTTCCATTACTTGGTCTTTGCTACGTACAAAACTAACACTCTTGCCTAATTACCGCAGGATCAGAGAGAGAGAGAAGAGTTCACCTTTTAAAATATTTAATAAGCGTCCATAGCTCTGTTGGATTTAATGAATTTATAAATAAAATATGCAAGTAATCACCATGTGACAGTTTGAGCATGCTGGGCGCAGCAGGCAGTAAATATCTCAGATGCTGTGCACAGAAAAGATGTTGAGTTTGAGGAAACAAAAGCACTCCCTACAGTCAACCCCCACAGCCTGGCTAGTGCATTATTAATAAACGCCTTCACATACACACCTCCATATTGTCTAAAATGTATTGTTGTTACAGCCTGTTACTTCTGGCACACTTTCCTTTATTACTTTAAAAGTCCCCCATTGGCTTTCTTAACTACTCTTTAGATTTTAAAGACCTAGAATCTCACACCTGGTTTTACAGACTGTCTGATTTTACACTGCTTTGTTTTGATGCTTAAAAAGAAATACCCATTCCAGTTTTATGCCAAATGAATGAATACTGAGGAAAAGCTGAAAGCAATACTTACTCTTTAGTCAATATTAATGAACTAGAAAATTAAGTCTATATGAAACATGATGGGAGCACTCACCTCACAAGTGGCAGTTGAATGTGATTTGCAAAAGAAACCATCTGTCTATACACATAAGACTGAACCTTAAGTAACCACAGCTGTAAAAATAAACTTTCAAACTTCCACTCTGAAACAGAGCAATACACGTTATTTGCCTTTACGTTTTGTCACCTTCCATAGCTTCTTTTGTCTGGAAGTTATTTAAAAAGGCAATATTATTAACAAAATTAAAGTTTGACAGCCTTTCAAAAGAAAGAAAAAACATGCAGGACAGGACAGAAGGAAAGTGGGGAACTTTAAACTATGAAAAAAGGTGGTCCTTGTTTAAAAGATGAACCTAAACAAGGTTTTTGTCTCGTGTCTTCAACAGACAGGAACTGTCAATGCACTGGAATACGGACTGAACCGCTTCACGGACCCCAATGCCAATCCGGTAACAGAGGTGAGTCCGTTTCCTGTTTTCTGCTCACAAGACTGTTCACACCTCACTTCTGCTCACAAGACTTTCGAAAAGGTATCTCACTGAGTTAAGAGGGAGATGTCAGTGAGATGGACAGAACTTCCATTGCTTTCAAGAGAAAAGGGACAATTCCTTTGTGTGGTAGTTCACGGTGTGATGTCACCAGGAACACTGTTAACGGCAACACTTCGTATTTGATTGTAAATTCTTAAAGAATTGTTCAGTTCCCATAAGTGAGTCTTAATCTGTACACACTAAATTAGAAACATCTTCCCTCCTTATTGCACTTCACTGCTTTAGACGTAGGGTTTTCCACACCGCCTTATCTGGGGAGAGTAGAATAGCCATTCATTCTCAAGACAACTGAGAAACCACATTGGTCAGGTAATGTCTGTGTCTTTGCATTTGGTGAGGTAATACATTTAAGACTACATGCTACCCTGAAATTGGAGATCAACCAAGAGGTCTTCTGCAGACCTGGATGAACGACACAATGTGTTGGATGAGTCACATGCCAGCAGTGGACTTGGATGTTGATATTCTATGCATGATCTGCAGTGCAATTTAGAACCCTAAGCTGGTTAAATGAGAAATATAAATGCAAATTTTATTTGAGCAACTGGTTTGTGTGAATGGTATTATTGCTCTTGAGAAAAGACAGCTGACTGCATTTCGGTTGTCCTTGGCAAGGCTATTCTAAACATTTACAGACACGTGTGCAGCATATATTTATCACTAGTGCTGGAGACCAGCTGCATGATCCTTATGCTTTTAGCTTTTATGTTATGTTAAACCCAGCCCATCGAGCAGCTCAGAATATCAAAGAAGGTTACGATAAGGGTCAAATAAAGAGATGTGTTACAGATAAAGTACTGAATTTTTATAATGGAGAAACTGACAAGCAATGACTTTTCATTTTTTTGTGCGATTTTTGTGCACAGTGACATTTGTAATTTCATCTGCAGTGTCAAGCACTCAAAAATTAAAAAAAAAAACTCTGAGAAGAGAAAGCATAATGTGAGATTCCATATTATGTCAAGCCAACCTGTGATCCAAACCATAGGAAACCATGTCAATAATCATGTACTGTAGAAATAAGTTGCAAGGTTACTGTGCTCTTAACAGAGTAAACTGTCCTTAAGAGAAATCACCAATAAATATCGTGAACTATGTGACACTCTTTTTTTGGAGTGCAGTGATTTGTATTTTTGTACTTCGGTGGTAAAGTGCTGTAAAGTGAGGTTTCTCTCTGGTCTCTGGTCTCTCTCTCTTGCTGTAGAGGTGTTGCTTTGCTCTGAGGTGAGACGATAGTGTCATATACACGCAGAGCAGGTGAAGGACAAGAATCTGTGCCTCTTGCACCCATCGTCTTACACTTTCTAAGAGGATTTTACTCTGGTAATCTTCACCCATCCCCCATTAACAGACATACACCTCCCTGCTTCCAGCATCATAGCTGCACTGCGAACAGCTTGGCAACAGCAGGGGCCCTGTAATTGTTTTTGTCCTGAAATAAATTAATTAATGAATTGTTTTTTAATAAATTAAAAAAACAAAGTCTTTTTTGGTATGCACTGTTTTTGACACCATCATGTGAAATGTGTATCACTTGACTGTCACTGCCCAGACAAGCATCAGTGGGCAGAGCACTGGCACTGTGGCTAAGGATCTGCGCCTGTGGCTAGAAGGTTGCCGGTTCAAATCCTGCGGCCGGCAGAGGAATCCTACTCCATTGGGCACCTGAACAAGGCCCTTAACCCCAACTGCTCCAGGGGTGCTGTATAAACGGCTGACCCTGTGCTCTGACACCAAGCTTCTCTGTTCTATCCTAAAAAACTGGCAAAAGTCGTCTTGAATCTCCTGTGAAGCGACGTCAACATGACAGTCTCATCTTTCACTAGGAGATGTATTCCAAGTGGGTGTTGTGCATATTCCCCTCTTGCACAAAATGCACAAAATGTGAAGTAGACCGAGAATTAACTCAGCTGTGCTAGATACTTATCCAAATGTCCCATATGATCATCAGCTCCCCGATATAAGAAACAAGGCATTAGTAGTGAAGTTTGAAGACCCTTAGTAGTGCAGACGTGTATGGCAAAGTACAGTGTGATCTTTTTATACAAGAACCTCAGCACTTCTACTCCATACCATTATAGAATGTCACATCCACTCAGTGGGGGTCCTCAGCAATTGTTCTTCATGATTCAGATGTTGTGAGCCAGAGCGTGTGTCACGTCACTCTCCGCAAAGGGTTGCGATAAAGCAGCCAAGGGCTGTATTGGCTCCCAGTGGAGCAGACACTGCTATGACTCTCCAGGTACCTGCAAGCTTGCAGTGACCATACCAGCCAGCACTGAGCCACCTGTACATCACTGTGATGGGTGATGGATAAGCAGGTTTGAGGAGTCTCAGTACTGCACTTCCTCGTATGGACACAAGTGTTGGCGATGTATGCTATAACAGAAATACATAACTGTCAACTCCAGATTAAAAACAGAAGAGGAAGATATGAATAAGAGGAGGCCCTTACACTAACATCTGCTCTGAGGCTGGGGATTACAGTCCAGAACAGCCGTTCCCTTTTTATTAACACACTTTACTTGTACATTATCTTCCAAATGTTTAAGGATACTAGGTTGAGAACATTGGTATAGAGTGAAAAAAATTATTTTGCCATTGTTAAGTCAAGAGTTCTTTTCTTTATAGTGCAATAACCTTTGCCTTGGTAGAGGATAGTTTATAAAAATGCCTTTGTGTTTCTTGAGAGACTTGTTAACGATAGATTGTTTAACGATGGAGAGCAATGTCAGAGCAGAGTTTGTTCTTTGGCACAATGTCATAAAGGGCTTGCATGGTGTCACACTTATTTCTACAAACTACTAGAGCAGCTTTTCATCATTTGACCTTGACAACACTCAACCCAGAAAGCTACAACTGAAAGCCCCATTGAGAAAGATCATACAGGCACATTATCTTGTTTTTTTTATATGTGCGTATATACTATATGTGTATTAAATAGTGGAGTTCTTCCAGTACACTTACTAGAACATTCATCTGAAGGACAAGCTTCACCCTTGGGAACCACTAATATAAAAAAGAAACTGTCAGAATGAGCACACAGAGGTTAAAGCTCAAAGTATAAATGACATGCATTGTAATGCACTACCCTTCAAATGTAAAAGAAGCAATAACTGCAGTGAATGTTTTGTCACTTGAATCACAGTCATGCCCACAGAAACCAGGAATGAGATGACGTGTGCTTGGCTATATTAACTGTGACATGTTTTATATTGGAATTCCAGGGACATTAAGGCCTGCAGCCACCATACCACCTTCATGCTGATTTCTCCATTTACTTGAAGGTGCTTCAATGTTTCAGCTGTCAACAGGCCATGCATAGCAACAGATAGTTGCGTAGGCCTGCAGAGTAGTGGTTGCCATGAAAACTGACTGAGAAACCAAATCGTCTGTAGCCTTTTCTTTAAAGTTTTATTTGTACAGATGGCACCTCTGACCATCTTTCTCTTTGAATCTTCTCATTCTGGGAAATACGCATTACTTCAAACTGAAATAAATGGCTGCTGTATCGAATTTGTAGGTATAAAAAGGAGCAGAAAAAAAAGGAGTACATTTCTACTGCTAACAATTTTTCAAAGGGCATTTTGACTGTTTATTCAGCAGGTACAATCAATGCTGTCTTAATAGCACCTGAACAAACACCGAGAGACAAAGCATCCCTTTTTTCCCAAGACACAATCCATTTTTTTCTGTTCTTTGACAGCTATGTCAGTTCATTACGTTTGCGAGGCAGCTTGCCTTATCTCTAAACAGAGGAGCTACTAGAAGACTTTGACACACAGAATTTCCTTTGAACCTCATAGTCCATAGGAGAGTGAGAGAGATGTAGGGGAGAGATCAGGAAGTGCAAACAGCTGGCAGTTCTCACTCTATTGCGACTTTCTTAAAAGAAACATACACATTCACAAGGCAGTATATCAGGTAAACATTCCGGATTGTCAAAAGGTGCTTTTATATACAGTAAATGAATAAAAAAAACATGAATATTGTTCCTTCAATACAGCCTTTGAATTTTAATGTAGTATTTTGTTTGTAAACAAAGGCCATTGATCAGACCAGGAAAGAGAACTCCAAAAGTGATTAATGTCATCTTAATTTAAATTAACAAAGCACTTGCTGTGCTAAACACTGTGCAGTATGTAGCTTCACTCTAGCTCTGAAGTCTTGTGCTTGTGGTACTTTGACATACCTAAATATAATTACACTTAATAGGCTTTTTTAGAGAAACTTTGCCTTTCATTATAAGCATATTTGTAGATTTAAAGTTCTGTGTTCCTGATCACAAAACACGTTTTTCACATTTTGAAGTACAATTTCAGGTGATTTATAATTCTAAAAATATGCGTTCCCTTGCTGGAGATTCCTCTGAAAGGCCTGCAGTACAAATTACACAGCCCACTCCTGTTTCAAACCTGTTTTAAATTGAATATTAAATGGACAAATAACAAATGGAAGGAGGTCTGAGGTAGCTGTTTTGTCAGCGCTTTTATAACATTTAAAATATGATTGTCAATTGTCAATGTCAATTTCACTGATAAAAAGTAGTTGAGTGGATGGGCAAGACTTGTGGTATCCCTATTTTCCTGAAAACAATTACAAGTTCATCTTGTTTTGAATTTCAAGTGTTTTTAATTGTATTACTGATGATAAGAAAATATTATAAAAGTTCTAGTTTTGTAGTTGGTTTTTATTTTTTACCTTTCCAAAAATTCATCCTTCTTTAGTCATGCGTGTGGTATTGTTAATCTAGTTTCTCATGACTATACAGATGTTGTGTTTTTCTACATTACTCATTTGATCTTTTTTTCTTTCTTTTCTCTCCATTTAGATTTTGTTCCTTCTGTTTTCTGTGAATCCCTCCTAGAGACTGCCATTGTACAGAAGACGCTCAGTACTGCAGCCCATCTGCTTAGCCACAAACTCAACCCCCCTCCATCCCCCGTCAGTCTGGGCAGCTCAGTACCAGTTTCCTAAGGGGGTTCCTCAGCCAGAATAAGCTGTCTTCATTCTGACATACTGCAGCTGGAACACTGTCACAGTCATCTCCAAACAGAGGGCTTACACAGCGTACTGGGGATGGAAATGACACTTTCTACAGATCCATGACTGCCAGCTTTTGACATTCATTTCTGCCATGTCATAGCTGGCTTTTGAGTTGTTAATAGAATGGTTAGACTGCATCCATCTGTTATCTGGTTCTGAAAAAAAAAAATCTTCTCAAAGATCGCAGTTTTGTTCCAGCGAGAGACTTGTTAAATACATCTGATCACTTACCTGTCACTGGAAGGCGGATGTGATCGGTTCACTCTTCTTTCTTTATTAACAGACAGCATTCTCTCTGGAGACAGGTCTTGCTAAATTTAACATATCATACAAATGCTGACATTTTTTCAGAAACAAGGTCTAGAGAATTGCAGAATTTATTAGAGACTTTGCTATTGATTTTTTTTTTCCCACCGAAATCTGCACCTTACTGGGGACAGAAAGCATGCTTTTTCTGTTCATGGTGTCAGAGGTTCATTGCAGACAGTTTCATTGTTAACGTGGCACAAGAGTCATTTAGAAACTGGCACTTTTCTTAGGAATAAATGTCAAAAGCTGGCAGCCCTGTAAACCTCATCAGGAGGAAATCTTTGTGTTCATATCATTGTAGAACTGTCCTAGGGCTGTCAAGATTGGGTGGCTAGAGACATCATGGACATCCTTGTATTGCAGCTGACATCCTTGCAGCTGTCTCTCTCATGTTAACGATACAAAAGCTGCCGTGACTGCATTCCAAAATCCTAGGCAAGTCAAGGATTGAGGGGTTAAAGACAATTCCAAGGATGTAAAATTAAAAATTTGATCAGGTTATCACTAATTCCATGTAATTCATAAAGCAGACATAATGTAATCATTGCCACAACCAAGTAACTGAATGTCCATCCTGGGATATAGTCAGAAGATAAAGATGGGGTGTGCCGACTTTGGCATTGATTGGGAATCACTTCGATGTTGTGACTTACAATATGAAATTCTGGCAATAAAAAAATATGCTTTTTAGTGCATGCATTTTAAGTGCATTGAATACTCCATCCCAAGGTTACATTTGATTATACTGAATCTCTAAGTTCCTTTTGTGTTGCCCATGCTTTGTTTTGTGCCGCTCTGCTTTCATAATCACCTCTGTTTAGATAGAATACAGTGCAACGGCTTAATCTGCACAAACAGGCAGGTTACCTTTGTGCTGAATACGTACTGAGTCCAAATTACTGCTAATAATGCTAACAAGAATGATGACTTAATGGCATCTGAAACTTTATTCATTGGACATTTGCTTTTCTTGTCATCCTTCCACCCTGAAGCCAAAGTCAATAGAAGAATCTCCCCTCTTTAAATGCAGGACGTGCTTACTTGGTATGCTAATGGCAGTGCTCAGTGTAAGAGGCCAGGCGCTCTCTCACATTTGTGAAATGCAAATCCTGAACCTCTCCTGGCTTGCTCTTTAAAATTCATTGTGCCGTATATTCCTAAGATGAAAAAGGAGAGCTCCTTCATTTTCAAAAGCTTCATCAGAAATATGTTTTAATTTCCCCAGCATGATGGCAGCTTTTAAAGCAAATAACAGTAGCCTCTAGAGCATTCAAGCCTTTCAAAAAGGTATATATATTGCCTCTTACCATGACTCAGTCATAAGCTATACAAGTTATTAAAGATCAGAGGCTGCGACAGTGTTTTGAGACTTGTTGTAACAGAGTAGCTTTTTGACCTTTTAAAAACAGATACCTTTTTATGTGACAAAATTAGAGAGATTTACTGGGTTGAAGTCATTTGGATCATACAGTTTTGGTAAGATCTGTCCCAGAATGTTAGCGTGAATCCCATCGTTTATAACACAGCAGGGGAAGTCCAGGCAGAATTTCAGATAATTGTTGTGCAAGAAATGTGTCATTTATTTATTTTTTACAACAGAACAGTTAATTCTATTGTCTAGTGAATAATGCCTCCCTTTCCCCAAAAAACATCATTGAGTCTTAGTATGAGCTCATGCTTGTTCCCTTAAAAGCAGGAAATGATACAGATAGCCTTAATAAGCGGCACAAAGCCGTTTGCTTCACATTGGGAATATGGGAATATTGAATTGATGAGCAGGATAGGAAATGGGAGCACAGCATAATGTTTTTAAGTAAAACTTTTTAAAGAGTTTTTTTTTGTAGATGTACTTGGGTAAGTCAGCATATTAACTTTTGTCACTGTTTTCTGTTAGATCCCTTGTGATAAATAGTTAAAAGCAGCTAGGAGTGCAATTAAAAGGTACATAAAGAATCAGGAATTTCTGATTCTGTTCATCAGGTGACTTGACACTGAGAATCAGATTAAGTCTCCTGTAGAAATCTGGAAATCTGGAAAAAGCCCCATAGGTACAGTAATTCTGTATAGATGTCATGCTTAAAGCTATTTCTTACATTTTCTACCTATCAAAAGTTAAGAAAATACAGATTTTCTACAATTAATTATTTCTTGATTCACCATGTTTTGACAATCTACTAGATAGTTATACTCTTGCACCCAAGCTTGACAGTTCGTTAGCTGTCACTAGTATTAAAGCATCATCTTTTGTTTTTGATCTTTCCAGATATCATCTAGTCCTTTAGATATATGTCTGTTGATAGATCAAATACACTGTAGATACAACATATTGGTAGCTTATATGATTTTAGATGCTTTTCCATTTTACCATAAACGTAAGACCAAATTTAATATTTCTAGTGAAGTACAATGCAAAACATTGCCTTATGTAAGAACAAATCTTTTGCCTATCTGGGTAAAAAGTTGGAACTTTACAATTTCTGAAAATATAACTGCAGTTCAGATAAACATGTTTTAACTAGATCACACCCTCTGTGATACATGGGCTTTTGTCGTGTCACAGGAAAAGAGGAATCCATTTTTAGACTGTTTAAATGGCATTTTCCTGTACTAAGTCATCGTCAGCCTCAGTGGGGTCTACAGTATGTTTTTACAAGCCGTTGCTTACTGAAGAAAGTGAAGCCTGCCTTGCATAGTGTAATACTGATGTTACAGTTAGAGATAATGGCCCTTATTTTCTATTGTGGGCAAACTGCAAACTCCATAGTAAAATGGATTAGTTGGTTCACAGTGATGCATCAGTTGCAGTATCTGCTCAACATTGCTGTCTGTCACCCATGCTGCTGTCTGCTTTTCGGGGCACCTTCTATTGTAGTGTGAAGCTTCGAAAAAATATGTAAACAATGCTCAAATTAAGTTTTGTATTTTCACCACATTCTTTGTGTTTATTGTTTTACAGAAGAAAACATACGATTTCTACAGAAGAGAGGTAATGTTGTCTCTCCTAATCCCGTATTACAGTTTTTTTCAGTTTAGTTTTTTTCAGTTTTTTAAATGATGAATTTATTTTAAATTGCTATTTGAAAATAAGATGGAGCAAGGAAAAGACTTCTGTAGATTGGGCAAACTGCTGATGTTACCCAAAGCACATACAGTAGGCAAACATTCCAGTGTGTTCAAAGAGTTCAAAATCAGCCTTATCGGCGTGACACTTATGCTGGTAGAGCAAAACCATTTGCAATACACAATACAGAACAGTACAGTATGATACAGAATAACACAATATAATACAGCATGATGTAGTGCGTTATAGTGCATTACTTTATCATAGTGTGTTGTCTCTCTGTTTTACAGATTATTTTTAGTCAGCAGTCGCTCATGAAGTCAAGAGTCAAGTCTTCAGTCTCCATTGGGGGGTAGGTCCTTTTCAAACTCTTCTGGGGAGTTTATTTGCCGAGATCCTGTAGGTGTTAGAATGTGACTACTCATGGTATATAGATAATTTACATAGAAGACATTCAGATTATGATGAGTTATCATTGATATCTAACATATATTTGGCTGCATTCCAATACATACTGTATTTCATGGTTGACTGTTTTTTGAATTTGAAAAATGTAG